TTTTCTATATGCAGTGTAAATTTTTCAATATTTTTTTCTTTTTTCTACTTACCGACAACACCTACTACCAAATCCTGTGCTCGTCCCTGATTAATGAGGTGTTTAGGGCTGTTAATGCTTATGTCCATCACGGCCTCGACTACTTGGTTGCATAGGTCTTGTGGTTTTGCTTAGGTTTTGTATTCTGAACGTCGTAAATTCTTTATACGATATCTAATTTTAACGATCTTTATATCTACGTGTTCGTTTTTTGAGTCTGCTATAACTTTCGTTAAGATTACTCCCATTAAAATATTATATGTTTTTACTTACGATTTTATAAAAAACATCCATACAGACATTCATAAAAAATGTATGGATATAAAGATCATAATTAAAAAATATATTACTTTTTGACGGGAGTAATCTAAACAAAAAATTTAGTAGACTAAAATACAAATGATAGATCGTTAGAATCCGAGATAGTATGAAAAAGTTATGACGTTTAAGCACCTAAGTAGTCGAGATCGCGATGGACATAAGCATCAAAAGCCTAAAACACATTGTTAATTATTGTTTCATGTAACATGTTGTGAGAAAACTTTAAAGAAAACATTTATGAGTATTGAATGAGTACAAAAACAAAAATAAATTATTTTGCAACAAAAAAAATTAAGAACTAAATGTGTACAAAAATATTAAGAAGTAAATGTGTACAAAATGATAAATATATTACCCTATTAAGATATTTTTACCGGTTAATCTGAAACAACCGATCATAAAAAATATGAATAAAAAATAAAATCAGTAATCAAATGTGTACAAATGAAAGAATATATTACCTTTTAAGTCATTATCCAAAACTAAGTGATGGTTTTATTTTTATCTTGAGGGCCTTTTTGACATTTATCTAGAATAAAGGGGTCTATTAGACTATATTTGATCATTTCTGGTACCTACTAATCAAATTCATATCTGGGTATGAAAGTATACATCGGGAAAACGTAGTCCGGAAGAATCTACGGCGAAGATGCCGACGGCGTCTTCTAAATTCTCATCGCCCGTTCTTCTTCAACATCTATTCATAGCTGCTATTGCTTTCAATTGCTTCGTGGTTTATGCTTCTTCAGATCCATCCATATCACCCGAATTGTAAGCAAATCATTTTCTGTAATCATCATGTTATAGGCACAAAAATGCTATAATTCAATGATTATATCGCAATAACCTAGTAATTTTTACTGATCAACAAGTGTATGATGATTTTGATTCGGTAATTGTGCAGAGAAGGAGGACGAGAAATACGAGTAGGGCAGAGAGGTTTGAAGACCTTCAAGGAAAAGGCAACTGGCACAAACATAACCTTCGATTGCTCTCCCTTTGGTCCTTGCATACCTTGCCTTTACTCTGAAAAGGTCTCTTCTTAATCAGTATTGTTATGTATTTATGGTTGTGTTTTTCATCTATGTGATTGCATATTTGATGTATGCTATAAGGGAAGGTAGCATATAGATGTGGTTTTAGTATGTTGATGCATTTAATTGATTAGCAGAATCCAAGATGATACTCTTCCTTTCTAAGAATGATATCTCCCTCTCATAAATTGTTCAATAGATATGAAAGATTAAACCATGTAGATTGCATAGAAAGATTTACAGCTTAGATATAGTAAGTATATTGGCTATAGGCTCCATATGAGCATTAAAACATCAGTATAATTTGTTGTTCTAGAACTACATGCTTGAGGGTCTATTTGGTCATCTTTGCAAACTTTTTTTTTTCTCTTTAGTTCTTAATCTTGTCTGTCTTCTTTTGAACTAGTAAATGACACTACCTAGTTTTATAACTTAAGGTAATGTTGCTTAGCTAAACAACATCATGTTTAAGGCTATTTAAATACTTGTAAGATACATTTGCTAAAAGCAAGGGCTTCAAAATGATTTTGTAGGAGTCACACCCACATTTCTAGCATAAGGAGCTATGCTTTACTACTTAGATCTTCGGATGCCATTACTTGCTTTAATATATATATATATATATTAAAAAATAACTACTACATTGATCATTTTTTAATTTTGATCATGGTAATTTCTAGGTTAATATAGGTTTTAATTTAATGTTGCTGTAAATATTGTAAATGTTAATCAAATAAAAAAGTTTTTTTTGATACTTTTGTCATTTTAAGAAAATAATATGTAGATATTCTTTTCGCTTATTTAAAATTTAACACCTTATTGAAATTAACAAATTTAATACATTAGTTTGAAATTGAGAAGTTAGTATTAAAATTTAGGATAAATAGCACAAAAGATACTAAGTTTACACCAAAATTCTAATTTGACACTATGTTTTGTTTTGTCTCAAATTTGACAATGTGTTTTCCATTACAATTTTGACTACTTGACCGGTCAACCCGGTTACTTGCTGATGTTGCATGATGATGTGTCGGTTTTAATGATGTGGCATGCTAACATGACATGTTGACGTGGCAAAATTGAATTTTTTCCCACAAAAGACACTAAGTTCTCACTTTTTCCAATTATAACACTAAGTTTATTTATTTTTTTTTTATTTTTTTATTTTTTAAAAATTTTGACACTTTATTTTTTTGTTCCAAATTTAACATCATTTTTTCAAATTTTGTTCAATGATGACCATTTTCCATTTGAAACAATATAAATATTTTTTATTACATTCTAAACCGTATATATACATTTTTTTTCATTTAAAAACCACATTTTTATATAAATACAAGATTTTTTTACATTCAAAGCATAATGTTATGTATAAATATGTATTAGTCATATCATGAGAATCAAACTAATCATAAGCTTCGAATAAGAATACCAAAATTTTACCAATTATCGTTTGTGAAATATTATTTATTTTATTTTTTGTTGTAGATTTTACACATTTTTATTTACAATTAAATAATTCTATTAGTTATATATTGATGTCGCATCTAACGTTCGTTTGAAGCATTGAAGAAGAGATGGGAAACATAGAACAAAATACCAAAATTTAATGAGAATACTAAAATAGATGTAATAATGTCGATATTTATCCTTCATAATTATCTTTGAAACAATTGAGCTGAAAAATATTATTTAATTGGAGTCACACCATGGAGATTGAAGATATTCCTAATAATATTATTAATATGATATGAGATGTAAAAATTTCACGGGTTGCAAATCTGATCTCTAGACCTTGATGGACTCATTTTAAAGATGCGTATTTAATATAAAATATGATTTTTATATAACTAATACCTATTTATACATAGCACTATGGTTTGAATGTTAGAAAAAAAAAACTTGTATTTATACAAAAATATGGTTTTTAAATAAAAAAAATGTATTTTTAAGGTTTAAAATGTATTAAAAGAATATTTATATTTCAAATGGAAAATGGTCAACACCAAACAGAATTGGAAAAATGATATTCGATTTGGAACAAAAAAATATAGTGTCAAAACTGCAAAAATAAATAAATAAACTTAATGTCAAAATCGAAAAAAATGAAAACTTAGTGTTTTTTGTGGGTAAAAAGTTTAATTTTGACACGCCAGCATGTCACGTCATGTAACCGGATTGACCGGTCAAGTGGTCAGAATTGTAACAAATTGGAAAACACCGTATCAAATTTGAGACAAAAACAAACACAATGTCAAATTAGAATTTTGGTGTAAACTTAGTGTCTTCTGTGCCATTTTCCCTAAAAGTTAATTAATAAAGAAGTTCAATGCATTTATAAAAAAAAAAAAGAAATAAATAAAAAATTCAATTAATGTGGTTGATAATAATAGCCTGTGGTGCAACCACCAATTCAATTCAGCCGTACCGAAGGAGAAATGCAAAAGAAAGGACAAGAAAAGAGGGGACCACTGCCCAACACATAAACACTACAGGATTTGGTAGAGGAGCAGGGGCAAAATGGGAATTGAGGACAAAATGATGTCTTTCCTGTTGAATTGACATGAGGAGGCAGCAGAGAATATTGGAAGTTTCTTTTTCCCTTGGGAGTCTGTAGCAGCTTGAATTGCTACTATTTATCTTAATTTCTATGCTATTGCTTTTGTGGTGTTCTTAATCTTGTTATTTTTGCCAATCATTCCAAAAAAACAGCAATATAACAGTGTCCTTATCTTGATTTTCATGAGAAAGAAGGTATAAATATCAAGATGTTTGATTATGTTTACTTGTTAAGAAATTTAGTTGGTTATATATATTAAGAATCAAGATGCTATATCTTAATACTCAACATTTTGTTTCAAGTGTTGATCTGTTTTGTTTTGTTGTTATTACAGAAAGATGAAAATTTCAGGTGCAGTGAAACTGGGTATCGAATTCCTATAAGATGTATAAAAATTCTAAATCAAGCAGATGAAGAAAATGAGGAGAAGAAGAAGAAGAAGCAAAAGGGCCCAAGTCTATCGGAAGATTCCTCATCATCTTCATCTGGAATAGAAGTGGGAAAAGAAGTCTATTTAACTTACAGAAGCTGTATACCTGCCATTGATGAAGAAAAGCTCTCCTTCATTGGCTTTGAGGTTTCTTCTCTTCGATTCCTGTTTTTCTTCTTCATTCTTGATTTTCAGAGTTAAAGTGACTGATTTTTATTAAAACTTTCAGGCAATTATGTTGGTGATGCTTGCATGTAGTTCATTTGTAATATACAAACGTAAAGGAACATTGGGTATGCAAGGAGGATTCATCAGACTTCCTACCAATCCTCCTAGGTTTTAAGATCCCAAGATCATGGACTGAATTTTTTCTTTTAAATTTCGTTGTATTATTATAGAATGTAACCAGATGATGATGATTCTTTATTGTTTTTGAAACTGAAACAATATCTACCCCATAGAAAACTTTGTAATTTTGGGTGGAAATTCAACAAGAGTCGTGAAATGTATAATCTTGATGTTCATTAATATACTAAAAATATAATGTATACAAACTAAAAAAGTTAAGCGACCTAATAAGAAAAAACATTTTCAAGTACAATAACATGACATGGCAGTTTTTAAAAAAAGTACAATGTCTTAATATGAAAAAAAAATAATAATAATAAATAAAAGTACACTACTATAATAGAAAGAATGAAAATATAATCTCGAGCATAAACACCCTATCTCTTTAGTTTCTATTAATTCCCATGCCAATGGATACACATGTGACAATTGACATAACATACCTCCATCATACAAATTTACCATCTTACCCTTCTCTGAAAAACATATACAAAAAAACATGTGTTTCTCTTTCTCAACAACACCATGATTCATGAATGATTCCAAACATAGAACCATCACAAGTAAAAAAGACCAACTCTGAGGGGTAAAATAGTAATAATTATAAAAAATAATCAGGTGTCTTTCGAGAAGTATGGGGTTCGATTTGCTTCGGGGCTGGCTCAAACTGAAGAAAGTTTTGTTCCATGTTGTCACCAATTTCCAAAATAGCCGCCATGTTTCCACACCGATAACAGTAGTTTGGTGCACTAAATACTGTCACCACATTTTTATCCTGAAAAATAACACCAAATATTTAAGAAATAAATATTTTTAAATAAATAATTAAAGAAATAATGAAATTTGAAATGACACCTGGCACCAGTTGAAACCATCCATTACAAGCTGGTGTGCTCTTGAGATGAGAGAGAGGCCATTCGTATGATTAAACTGTGTTGCTATGTCTTGTCCAAATGTATACCCTGCGCCACGTGGCGATATCCCCCACCCACATCTGTCATCTGGATCAGACCATAACAGATCACACATCGGCCCTTCATGTGGGACCTACACACACACATTAGTTGAAAAATAGCAATGTATTTTCTTAATCTTTAAATAAATAAATAAATTTATGTACCTCTTGGATTCGGTCCAAGGCGCGGATATTGTCTAGAGTATCCAATGAAGGTGAAAGCCCGCCATGTAAGCAAAAGATCTAGAAAAGAAGTATGACGTGGATGATTAAAAAAATAAAAAAAGATGTATGACGTGGATAAAAATACAAACATTCTAACCTGGCTTTCAATGAGTGCTGTAAGAGGTAAGTAATCGAAAAGGTCTGTGAAATGCTTCCAGACATTTGCATTTCCGTATTTCCTCAAACATTCATCATAGAAACCATATCTGTTTTTTTTTTTTTTTTAAAGAAGAAGAAAATTAGTATTATAAAAGTTGTTCAAATGTGATACTTTTTAGGGAAACACATTAAATGACTAAAAAAGGTTTAAGGTGTTACACTTGAGTAATTTGGCGACTTTCATGATTTCCTCTAAGAATTGTAAGCCTGTCTCTATAACGAACTTTTAGAGCCACCAAGAGTGTGACAGTTTCCACTGAATAATACCCGCGATCTGCATCAAAAAATTTATTAAAATGATCACAAAATACACAATTTGTTTCATAAACAATTAGTTTTTTCGTTACTTTCTCTCTAATTAAGCAACCTACTCTTCACTTTTTTCCATAAATAAGCTGCCTTTTCTTCACATTTTCTCCAAACAAGAAGCTTTTTTTTTCCTAAACAAAAGTCTTCTCTTCACTTTCTCCATTAATAAACAGTCTATCAAGAACTTAACGCCATAAATGCATAAACAAGTAAACAACCCCATGTCAGATTCACTATAGAAAGTAGAAACTACATCTTTTGCTATTATATTGGTCTAGGCTCAACATATTCAAGAATGAGCAGGAATTTCAGTCGATCATAAACTTCCATTAATGGACAAAGAACTTCAATATCTAGAATTCTCCACGCAACTCGAAGTCCAATTGGAAGAAGAAAACAAGCGACATCGAAAATTCTCATCAAACCCTAAAAACCTCATTAAGCAGACGTACAAAAGTAAAGCAAACAATAAATAAATAAACTCACCAACATAATCTCCCATGAAGAGATAATTCGTATCAGGGGGATTTCCACCAATCCGAAACAGCTCAACCAGATCGTAAAATTGACCATGAATATCACCGCACACCGTCACCGGACACTTCACCGGCTGCACATTCCATTCCTCGACAAGTATGGTCCTGGCCTGCTCACAAAGCGTTTTTACCTCCGATTCCGTCAACGGCTTGCACTCCATCAGCTGCTCTATCTGTCGATCTAGATCCGCGTGCGACGGCATTTTCGCCCTCTGTATTTCCCCACCAACTGTAAAAGATCTGATGACCAAGGACTAAATCAACTCAATATTTCGAACTCCTATAAAATCCCATAATCTACCAAACCAAAGCCAATTAACATTGAACAGAAAATCTAGGGTTTGAATTCAGTAAAAAATTAAATGGTTACAGAGATTCCTCCTCGTGAAAGTCAAACCATCAAAAATTCCTCCCACAATTTGATGTTGATTAATCTGTTTGTAGATTGTAGAATGTGTGTATTGAGTGCGGTGTTCAAAGCAGGAGTGAAATGAAACTCAAATGAAATGCAGATTTTAGGCGCGTCAAATTTGACCGGCTCAGGTGACGCCCTCGAGTCAAAGTCATTTCAGAGATGGTTTCCACGTGGCATTCAAATGTTAAGACCGACTGGTATAGTCACCACGAGCCATTTCGTGGTTTACGTGTTCACGAACCACGGACGTGCACACTGTCCGGTGGTTCGTGGTGGTCCGTTCTCATTGTGAGTCGTGTTCGGGACAACGGATTCAAACGATGGTTTCGATTGGGTGTTTGGTTTTTGGCCGTTGAACGCTGTTTTGGCCGTTTTTTTTTTTTTTTTTCAAACTCAATTATAAATACACTTCTAATACCAAAACACATACACATACATACACATTCTATTACACCCATGGATCCCTCAATAAATATGGAATTTTTAAAAAGTTTTGACTCGGATGACGACGTAGAATTCGTCGAGACATTCTTCAATGTTGTGCAACACGTTCACGCCGAAGAAAGTTCGAATGCAGCGCGTACAAGGGCGGTCGTCAATCGTGATCGCCAAGCCGCACACGACTTATTGGTACGTGATTACTTTGCCGATAATTGTCTTTATAATGACGACTCGTTCGAACGTCGTTTTCGTCTGAATAAGACTATATTTTTACGTATTAGTAATGCTTTAGAATCTCGTTATGATTTTTTCAAACAAAAACCCGATGCTAGAGGAAGAATGGGTTTTAATAGTATACAAAAATGTGCGGCTGCTCTTAGGTATTTGGGATACGGTATAGCATTTGATGCATCTGACGAATACTTGAAAGTATCCGAGAGGACCGCGGTTGAATGTGTAGATTGATTTTCTGCATGTGTTTATGAGGTTTTTCACGAAGAATATTTGCGTAAACCTACTCAACATGATATTGAGAGATTATATTCGGCTCATGAAGAGAGGCATGGATTTCCTGATATGCTTGGCAGTCTAGATTGTACGCATGTGGCTTGGGAAAAATGTCCAACTGCATGGCGTGGTCAGTTCACTCCATGAGATATAGGTGAACCAACTATCATCCTAGAAGCTGTTGCATCACAAGATTTGTGGATATGACATGCCTTTTTTGGAGTAGCGGGGTCTAACAACGACCTTAATGTTCTTGGTCAGTCTCCACTTTTCAACGATATTTGGACCGGCAAAGCACCTGATATGACGTTCACGGTAAACGGGCACGCATACAAATATGGTTACTACCTTGGTGATGGGATATACCCGGATTATTCTACTTGATGAAGGCATACTCAGTTCCTCGAAGTGAAAAAGCAAAATTTTTTACAAAAAAACAGGAATCAGCGAGAAAGGATATCGAGAGGGCATTTGGAGTCCTTAAGCAAACATGGCATGTAGTGAAATATGCTACACGACTCTGGGATAAAGAAAGAATTAAGCGAATGGTCCTAGCATGTATTATAATGCATAATATGATTATTGAAGTTGCACGTATGATCTGAACGACGTTGTCGTTCCAATTGAGGAGTTCGTACCCGGAACGAATGCTTTTTTGGAGCGAGTTGTTGAAATTCATAACAGTGAAACGTGTTTCAATCTTCGAGAAGATGTCGCGGAACATTTGTACCAACATAGCATGAACGACGATTAGGATTTTTATATGTATGTTTGTTCGTTTTCTTATTAATGTAATGTTTGTTTTCTAGATTAACTAAGTAATGTAGTTTAAAGTTGTTATTTTATTTTTATAATTAATGAAAAAATAGTTTTAAAAAAATGAATGCTTTTTACTTATAAAAAATGTAATTTTATTTTAATTTTTGAATTAAAAAAAATAATTTTATTGTATTTTTGAATTAAAAAAAAAAGTAATTTTATTGTATTTTTGAATTAAAAAAATAAAATAAAAATAATGATGTGGAGTGGTGTGTTAGTGGTAAGTATCCCATGTTAGTGGTAATGGAATGTGGTGCTGATGTGGCACCCACCACATATGTGGTATGTAGTGGGTATAACGGATGGTCTAACATGCACCCTTCAACGATTCAAATAACGAACACACGATACGATTAGTTGAGTAGTTTACGATAATAATGATGTTAAAATGAAGTTTTCTAAAATATGTTAAGATTTTTTATAACTTAGGAGGAAAGTAATTTATCAAGGGATGCCCGTAATAGTTATATTTTGGGTATGGTTTTCAAAATTTAGACATAAAAAAACATGTTTGTATAAATAGGATTCCGCAGAGGTGACCTCCGATGGCTCCAAGGAATTAGGATACTTTCTGCGGAATGACAATATGGTAAATTAAGGAGGAACATGTGTAAAATTGACGTAATGACAATATGGTAAAGCAACGTGTTCTTCAACGTATCGAAAAAAACCCCAAAATCCAAAAATCTTGTCTTTAGGGAAGAACAAATATGTGGAGCTAAATGAGTAATAGGGTGCTTTGAGGAATTTTTCTTAAACTTTTTTTTGTGTGTTTTTTTTGCCTCATCGATTTCTCAGAGCATAAGTTCATTTCGCGGAACCCTCGGAGGTAGTTCTACGAAATCCATGTCTATATGTGAAAAAAAATCAGTTTTTTATGTCTATATTTTGAAAAACACCCACCAAAATATTTTTATTATGGTCATAATCTTTGTTTTTATTCATTGTTTGAAAAAAACTTTTTATAATTTATATTAGTGTGATTGGTAATAAGAAAAAAACTCTTTTATTCGGTTCTTCCAAACACCCTCTAGAACTACAAAGTTGTTTTGTAATGTTATTGAATGAATATATTAAGTCAAAGAAATTATAATTTTCCCTTTAAAAAACAACGTTAATGTACATAAGATTGACAAATTCTAAAATCTAATGATATATAATCGTTTATTTTACTAAACTATAAAGATTTGTGAAATACAATAGACTAGAGATGAAAACACTATTATCTCCTTTATTCAATCAGTTTCATGTATCCATTTAAAACATAGAAAATAATTATAGAGTGACTGTTCGAAGCTTTCTTCTACAAAAGATTACACAATCGATTAAAAACTTAAATAACTTCCGCTTACTATGAATATATTACAACCCTAACTTATTGGAACTCAATGCACATGAACAATTGAAAACCATTTAATCTCAAATTTTGAATTGAAGAAAGGAGCAAAATACAGACATATAGATGATTTCTTAGAAATTGAAGCCATTTTTGCTTTGTTCTTCATGAAAGTTGAAGTTGTTTCTACTTTATTCAATCAATATTCTCATTTAATCTATAATATTAAAATCTTTTTGCTTTGTTCTACTTTTTCTTCTAGGTAGCCCTTCCTTCATGGTGGTTTCTTAAAAATCTATTATTTGATTTTGGAATTAAAGCTAATTTAGGATAGGAGAAAGATAACATAGATGATGAAGACATATTGGTTGTTGTAAAAGAGAGTGGGAGGAAGAAGGTGGAATCATGGTTGTTGTAAAGGAAAGGGTATAACACCCCGTTTTGAAAGTACTCGGTTGTGGTCCCAGAAGCCAAAGGGTAGGAGCGATTTGGTCTTTTATGGGTCTCGAGTTTTATCTGGAAGGTTTTAGGCTTGGAGGTATGGCTTGGAGTGTAATGCTTCTCGCCACCTTTTCATGGATATAAAGTTCGTCGAAAACGGACTTAGAGTGACGGAGTTATGACACTCTAAAGTTATTGTCAATTTTAGCCCTTAATGGAGTTTTGTGACAAGGTGGCCCGTGTATGCAAGGAATGCATGCGTGTGTTTAGCTGGGTATGCCCAACATATAAGGACGTTTGGTCGCGGGTGCAGAGAGGCATACGCCCAACATATTCTCAATGTTTCTAAATCCCTAATTTTAGGGCTATGTCACTATAAAAGGAATAATATGCCTTAGGGGTCAGCTTCCATCTCCTTCTTAGACAGCCACCACGAAACCCTAACCCTCCCTTGAGTGTTCTTGGAGCTTTAGAGGCCATTAGAGAGCATTTTGGTGTTGTGAAACCATTTTCAAGCAAGTGAAGAGTATAGCAAGGTGGTGGATCAAAGGGGAAGCAGTAGATCCAAGATTGTGGTTCCATTTCAAATCATTTTGAGCTCGGGGGGTTGAGAGACTAGCAGTTCGGGGATCAGGCTAGCAGCGAAGGGTTATTCGCAGGGTTCTACAGTTAGCTTGTGAGGTGAGTATCCTTACTGTTTGTATGGGTCTAAGGCACCAATGTCGACCCATTTAGTTTATGTATGATATGAAGACACGGGGGTTAGCCCTAGGCATTATGCATGAAAGACCAGGAGGCGGCTCCTGGCACACAATATGTAACATCCTAATTTTTTAGGCCAAAATTTTCATTTTTAGATAAATACTTCGCAACATAGTTTACCAAAACATTACCAAAGTCATGTCATTTATTAAAAACTATAAGAATGTGTCGGAAACCATATCAACATAAGTAATATATATCAGAGTACAATCCCAGAAACTCAATGCGGAAAACATATGCGTGTTTGTGTGTGACGCGCTGCTACACCGACGACTCCTTCACCTTAGACGAAGAGGTACCTGAAACCAAAACTGAAACTATAAGTACAAAGCTTAGTAAGTTCCCCCATCATACCACATACCATACAATCACATAGCATACATACTGCCAGGCATTTCTGGGGTGCCCGACCTGCCCATGTCAAGCCATTCTAGGGTGCTGACCTACCCATGTCAAGCCATTTTGGGGTGCTGACCTACCCATGTCAGGCCGTTCTGGGGTGCCGACTACCCTCCGGTCTATCTCAACCGGCATCGGGGACTATTTAACCCCTACCTCTATCATACAATAACAAAATATAATCATACGGTCAGGCATATCTGGGGTACTGAACTACCCTTCGGTCCTAACGACCAAGTCAGGGAAAAACTATTCCCTACTACTACCACTAACTCACATAGCATATCACATAAACATATCTTATAAGCATATCACATAAGCATATCTCGTAATCATAACAAGATAATTATCACAAAGATGATTATCTACCAATTACTCTTGTTGGTGGGCCAACATTGTGGCCTTAGACCCACCCCTACTGGAAGGTAACTCACCTCGAAGTCGTGTAGCATTTGCACTATCCTCGGTGTGAAAGTCAACTCTCCTCGACTCCTCAATCCATACACGATAACCCTTCTAAGTTATCAATTTGTAGCCACAACCCCTTCAAGGGTCAACTTGAATCTAAGTCAAAGTCAAAGT